ATCCAAAACACTGGCCGCCATGACAGTTTGTCTTCCACGTGGATCCGATTCCTAAAAATTTCATTACAAAACGAAATCACGGCCACTACGCCATACACAGTTAGACTGCAGGCGAACTTCACATACCCAAAAAACAGAGGTTCGATCAAAAATTTTCAAATTTCGCATCAAAGGCCAAGACCGTAAGAGCATGAACATTGGGAAGCAGACGGCCATGACAGCCGAAAGTGTTAGGGAAATGAAAAATCTTAACGATACCTGTTTGGATCCGAGCATTCTTTGCACTACGTATTTTGTTGCCGTGAAATTTTCATCATATTTGCATGCCTGAAAAAATAACTCTGCGTGAACGACCTAATCCATCAAATAAAATGGACAAAATAAACGTGAGAATAGTTTTCACGTGCAAGTAAATGCATTTTGGCTTTTAAAAGGAGAGTAAACGCGTGTATAAAACATGTGGAAGCAGCTATCAGCATACTTCTCAACAATCCTCGGAAGAAAAAGCAAAACGCCAGCCTAGCCAGCGGATAACTGCTGTTGACATGTGCTACCACTCGGGCTACTTTCGAAGGTCTCCGTCTTTTACAGATGGTGAAAACGGAAGGAATTTTAATTTCAGAAGAGACTGAACACAGAAGGGAAGAATTTTGACTTCTTGACAGGATACACATGAAACATTCTGCTCCTTTCCTCAATATAAAGACCTTTCTGACCGAAAAAAACGGTTCCATGGAAAAATTCGCAGGCAAAAATTGATCCAAAAGTTCAAAAAATTAATTAAAATTGCTAAGCTCCCATAGCGAAGAAAAAGACGTCACCACTGGACACTAATTTTTACAAACTAAAATGAGAGTTAAATATCTGTTACGGGGATTTAGTGAATGTTGTAAGCATATATTACCAGTTTAAGAAAGTCACAAATTTCTTCCTCATTGGTTGCAAGGCCTTCTGGACGAAATATGCTGGGACTGGTGAGTGCCCTTCTTGCTAACATCACACTGCTGGCGCCACTTTGTTCTCGAAACTTCGCTATATCAGCATATTCTTTAACCGTATTCGATGATCCACTGAAAATTCAAAGTGAGATTTGAATCTGTCTTCACAGAACAGTAGACAAAAATGTTAAATAGGCACTAGAGAGGCCATCGCTGAGATGGAAGGTTCCAAGCTTATGTAAGTGGATTTGGCAAACTTATGCAGGAGCCGCCAGCTGTATCGATGACGGGAAGGAACATAATGACTAAAACCACAACCATTTACTCGCAAATACAATGCTAGTGTTCATGACACGGATCGGAAGAGTAATGCCACTACTTGCCTACTTCCTGTAAGGAATTCCTATTTTTCGTTTTTCTACCCCTAAACCCGACCAAAAACCACCTGAACCCTCATCTTCGACGGCCCCTACCAGCTCAACCCCTTTGATAGATTGAGCTAATGAGAAGTACCGATATAAGGGTCCCAGTGTATCTCGGCCTAATTCAAATTCATACCACCAAAACAGGTATTTTTATGTAACAAAAATACAAATGAAAGTAGGAAAAGTGTAAAGGTAGCAAAAACGAAAATTTGAATGACGAAACAATTCGAAACAAAAATTCAATTAGTAAAAAACGAAGACAAAATGACAACCTCGTATGTTAACAGATTTCACTAGAGGAAAAAAAAGGAAAAACTAACTTCGCAATAATAGGAAGGGAAACTGCCCGAGCAATTTCACGGATTTCATCCACACGATTTGCATCACCCTGTCGTTCATCTCTTCGCCGCCCATGTATTCCGATCGCCGAAATCCCACATCTTTCAAGCATTTTCACAAATTCAAGTGTATCTTCTCGCTGAAACAAAGTTTTCTGTATCGAATCTTACAAACTAAAACTATGGAAATTTCACAAATTATTTGAAAAAGGGTTTGTTTTTTTCTTTTTTTTTTTTGATTTTTGATGCTTTAATCAGTTTTTGTTTCGCGTGTTTGCTACTTTAATACCGGTAATTGAGTATCTATCATTATTGAGAATGCGAAAATGCAAAATTCCACCAAATTCCACTGCTGCACGATAAATAATACTTATTACAAATAATTTATTCTTCCAATGGTTATAAGTGTATTTCATATTTGTTATGGTATTTCGCATAAACAACAGGCCAAGAATCTGTTATAGGATTCAAATCCGGGCTGTTCATTGTGATGTGGGAGTGGGAAACAATTCAACAAAGTCGAGGCAGGGCGGGCTACAAACCCTGACAGCTTCGAGCATGTCGAAAAAACACTGTGCCGCGTTTTTTCCAGCTAAGCTTGGATAGTACGAACCAAAGGCATTCTGACCAGCAACAGGTTATGCAACACAAGTCAAGCAGCCATGCCCGCAAGCAAAATATATGTGATTATTTATATATGTTTTATTTTCAATCTTCTTGATACAACTCATATGCCTTTGTTGCAATCCTCCAATTTCGTTGTATATCAAAAATTCGATTTAACAGATATGTGTAAGTAAACGGTGTAATGGAGTACCTTGTCCAAGACACGAATTTTGCAAGAAATTGGTATCGTCGATGAGGCAACACATGCTTCCACGATCTATAAATCATAAACCACAAGCTGTACATGAGGGAAATTTTTTTCTGCACTTACCATGAAAAAACAGTTTAATTCTTTGAGAATTTCCTAAAGGAAGCGGCCAGTAAAATTGTTAGAAAATATAATCTATTACCAAGAAAATATAATCTAACCTCTTTGGCTTTCTCCGGTTTTGATAACAGTGCAGCGCCCATGCCACCAGCTAAGGAGAACTGTTTCGGGCATCCCATATTTATATCAAGCGCTGCCACATCACTTCCACTAAAAATCGAAAAATG